ATATATATATATATATATATATATATATATATATATATATATATATATATATATATATATATATATATATATATATATATATATAGTAAAAATAAATTAATTAGGTAACCAATGACATAGTAAACCCGCTTACTAAAGATTAAGGATTTAAAATTCTATCCAACATATTTCGGAAGGATATAATGATTAATCGTTCGAATCTTAGAGAAATATTTTTAGACACTAAAAACTATGATTCCACTCACAAAAATTTGAAGACTTAAAAATTTTATTTAATATATATATTTTTAAGATACTTGCTTATTTGATAAAATATTTATCAAATTATTTAGAGTGTTGGGGTAAATCTTGTGTTGGCCACCTATTCTTTGAAAAAATAAATTGATTTTGATATCAAATGCTATCTCTCATCAATTATCATCATTGATTAGATTGAACAAATTAATCAAAGTACAAAAGGATCAATATTCTTTGTAGAATATAGGCATCCAAAATCCAAACCAAAATGAAGCACAAGGTGTTCATTAGAGTAGAAAAGCATATCATTTGTTTCCAATAGACTCTTTCTTTACTCTTATAGGTTGCAACATTCCCTGGAAATAGGAGGAAACTTGAATTGGCTGTCGGTCCGATGGATTTGTCTCGAACTTGGCATACAATTCTGTGCAGTTGGTAAATATGCAGCCTTCTCATCATTCAGAAAGAAGGGGCTTTTCTTCCTCGTAGATCTCTATGCTACTGCTACGATCCTCCTCCGGCGGTTGGATTCCTGAACCTTATTGGCGGCGGCGGCGGCGGGAGGACGAAGAGGTGGCTTCATTCTCCCTATTGCTGACGCTTCAGCTTCTGTTCTTTCATCCAACAAGATTTGATCGCGACGACATTCCTCACTGCAGAATCCCTGGTCACCCCTGCGTGAAATCACAGTATCTGAGCCACAGTTCATTGTGATCTCAGCCTACTATTCTGAAAATACAAAGAGTGTTGTTGTGAGCTTGTGTCAGAGATCACTGATTGTGTGTTCCATGATAAGCAGTCACAATCCGACAACAGTTCAGGAGATCACGGATGATAGGATCTCTCTCTCTCTCTCTCTCTAAATCCATCTACTATTACATTGTCAAGAGCAGAATTTATGCTGAACTTGCATCGAACAGTAGCAACAGCAGTGCTTCGATGTTGTTTAGAGAGGTAGAAAGAAGCAGTCGGGAGTGATGGAATACCTATACATGTAAACATCCTTGTGAGGGCTCAGCTCCTTTCTGCACAAGAAGCAAGCTTTCAGGAAGCCAAACTGAGGCGCAGAAGCCTTGGTTAAATGGTGAGGCATGCAAGATCGAAGTGAAGAATTGATCACGACATTGGATCGTCGTCCCGAGTTCTGTATGAGGATTCGAAGGCCTTCGAGCCGCTCGCAGGCGCCTTTCGAGCTTTCGATGGCAGCTGCAACAGTCTTTGGTGCCTCCCCACCTTCCTCCCCCACATGGAAGATGCTCCATGTTCTCGGTAGCATCTCGGAAGAGGGAGGAAGGGAGGAGGGAGGAGTTGAGGTGGGAGCTCTTCAAGGAAGGAGATGAGGGTGAGAGAGTGGAAGGAGTGATGGATACTTAAAACTACTTGGTGTCCACAAAAAGGATCCCCCACCTCTTTCACATGACATGTTGAAATCGTTCTCTTGATTGGAATTGCTGATCTTTAGATTTGAGACAGTACAGTTATGCACGCAACCAGATTAGGGAGGGATAGCCAAGTCTGATCACCATGAGACAAGTCCTAATCAATTAGGGTGGAGGGATTATTTCTTTTTACGACTTATTCGAGCAATTTCGAGTCACGAAAATAGTCCCTTTGTTTTTTTGTTTAATTATAACATTCGGAGATCTTAGTGTTACAGTAGTTGGCTGATTTTAACAAAAGATGTAAGAAATTATTTTTATCTAAGTTGTATGGATCTTAGATAACATGAGCAAAGATTAGTGTACAATGATATGGATAACAAAGAACATGAAGATATTGGATTGGATAAGAAAACTCCTTAAATATATTATTTTAGAGGTTTTCTCTAATAAATAAAAAACAGTAATTACTGTGAGATAGGAAGTGATTCATTCAGGATGTGGAAATCTTTGGTGCATAACAAAGAAAAGGTGATTCATTCAGAATGTGGAAATCTTTGGTGAATAAGAAAGAAAAGATTATTATAATGAGACTATGAAACAAATCAGTAAGTGAGAATGAACACAGAATACAAAGGATGAACTCAGAGGGTGCAAAGAAAGCTACAGGAACCAAATAGGATATCTCTTTTCTTTAGATTTTAATAGCAATTATTAGGTCTGCAATGCTTTATAAATTCAAATATTGAGCGATTAAGAAACAACATATATATATATATATATATATATATATATATATATATATATATATATATATATAATATCAAGATGAATATCCAAAATTACTAGGAAATTTTTTTTAAAAAAAATTATTCAGGAATAGTTAGATATAGTTATGAAAGGATAACACAAGATGAATCGTTTAGCAGTTAGAAAATGTGAGATGATCATTACTAATGATGTCAGAAGAGATTGATGAACATTTGAGGGAAGAAAACTATAAATAAAATTTTAAATATTTTTAATTTAATTTAGAATATTGCTATGTAGAGAGAATTCAATGCAGCAAAATATTCATATAACATGCACCAAATAATTGGAACTTAACAATTTGATGTTCTTGTACCAGCACCATTCTGGCTTTTCATTTTCTGTTTTTTCTCCATTTATCTATAAATATATTTTTCAATAATAATTGTTTGAATTTCCTTCCTATATTTTGGCCAAAAAATTGAGGTTTTTCTTTGAGGAGAATTTACTGGATATGTGAGGAATTGACAAGATCAAGTGGATGGTCAATATCTATAGAAAAAAGTTTGAGGTGTATATCAAGTTCATCAACAAACATACTGCATGCTGTGATAGACAGATCAAACTTTTTCATACAAATATAGTTTTATCAAGTATATCTAGAAAAGAAGTGGTCCTCATGGGACCCACTGTCCTCTCACATTGTCCAATCATATGCCAAGTAGATCTTAAAATTCAGTAAAAGTTGAAAGATACAGCAGAGGACTTATTCTTCCAAAATTGGTGGCATGTATTTGTGCTTGGCAAGTGAACACTCCACATGCAAGGGTGGAAGAAAGAAACAACTCAAATGGTGCATTAATAGATGCTCTCCAGAGAGAGAAAAAAAGGTCCACACACTAGTTGGAGAATAATTCCTTCTCTGTTGGTATGTTGCAAGTGACTTCAGAAAGTCTTAGCTGCACATAGTTTTCACCCTTGTTGATGTTCATGTGTTGTTGACTCTGCAAGAATCCAATGCTTTCCTGCAAAAGACTGTTATTAGATCAAGATATTTACCTTAAAAAGGTTTAAATCACCTTTAGTTCACCCAATACTAACAAAAGGGGAGAAGCAATAGAATGAGAAAGGTGGTTTTCTTTCTCACCTTAGACAGGTGAATATTCTATAAAATATATGATAAAAAAAATTTAATTTAAAGAGTATTTAAGTAATCATAACTGTATAATAATATTATATCAATTTTATTTAATCCGAACCAGTTCATGTGATTTATCTAAAAACTGTTAGGGTCAACTAGTTTGTTCCAATATTTTAGTGTAACCCATCCAATAATAACCTTTTGCTACTCTAATTTTCTCAGAAAGGGAAGAGAAGAGACCAAGGAGCCAATTCTGTTCCAATTCAATAGGAACTTATTATGTTCAAATGAACTCAATAAGAACTCATTATGTTCAAATGAACTCAATAGGAACTCATTATGTTCAAATGTGGAAGGAAAAATAGACTCAACTCTAACTAGTAATGACCTTATTGAAAGCATATATGACCTTGATTCTGCCAATGATTTCTTCTTCTAAGTTGTAAGAGAGAAAATAGGTGAGTAAATGATCCAGTGAGGCAAATAATTTATATCTCATGTTTTGTGTTTTCTGGACATTACTTAGGTGTCTAAAACATACATGCAGCTCATGTATGATCTTGACCACTAGAATATGATGTTTGTTCAAGAAAATTACTATTGCTAAAGCATCCATCCAGTGTGAAATGAAAGACTGCATTATACTTTATTATTAAATTTGTAATTGAAAATGAACAAATAATCTTTTGAGCCAAATAATCTTACTTCTCATGATTTTTCAGATCACCCAGGTCTGTGGAACATATATGTAGGCTCAAGTGTTTTTCTTTATCTATTGAAAATGAGGTCAGCCCAAGCACTTGAATCTGCTGTCAGTTTGTCCCATAGACTCTTCTTTGGTCTGCCAAGCACCTGAGTGAAAGCAGATAGAATCCAACTACAGTTCTTCACCTTGCCAACCAAATCATTTGCAAGTAGCACATCAGTGCAGGTTAACTAACTTTTCCACACACCAAAAACAAAAGCTTTCAGAATAAACTATGGGAGAGGATATCAGTTAACTTGAATATCATCTTTTCATGTTCCAAGTCTAATCTGTAGGACAAAAAAATTCTTCACTTGGTCATCTTTTCTTGATAGAACTGGATACTTAAATCTAACTGTACATAAATTTAAAAGAAAAATAAACTTTTTTTGGAAAGAAACAAAATTAACTATTTGCACAACATACAAGTCAAAAGGATATAATTTTGGGCAGCCGCTACACCCCCACGTGAGCAACTATGTTCACCGGCTGAAGATGGCATTGATTCTACCACTAGGAATTTTCTCAGCACTTAAGAACATCCCAGTTTTTGCTCTTTTGGGTTACCAATAATCTCTGCAAGAACATGTCCCATCTTTAAAGCGATGCAAAGACTTTGGATCCTTGATCAATATTTCACGTTTATATAATTTAGAAATTAACTTGCAAATTGTGTGACAATTGGTACATATCCGAACACTCTTAACTATCCGAATGGCTCTAAAAGTTGGCAGGTTAACAAGTCCAAAGGCAACTGCTAGCTTCTCGCTGTGGGTGCCAACTATGTCTTCACTGTCTTCCTCAATCTCAAGAATAGTGCCATCAAAATCAGGGATGACTTCATTTGTATCCATTATTCTGCTATTAATTTCAGCTAGTTTGGACTCTGAATTCAAAGTAAGCTGTCTTCCTGTTGAGAAGGTAATCACCTTCTGTTTTACTTCCATCCAGCAATAACCATGAGACTCATTAACACTGCCTTCTTTCTTAGCCCTTGGCACCTTTGACACATCATTTGACTTTCCATATAAAGCTTGAGCATGTGATAGCAGCCTGAGAGTTTCAGGGTTTCTAGGTTCCAGCTTAAACAAATGGGTTGCCGCAAAGTTTGCTATTCTGATATTGCCATATATTCTAGCTGCAGTAAGAAGGGCATTCCAGAGAGCAGCATCGGGCTCAATAGGCATATTGTCAATCAGATCAGAAGCTTCTCTAAGCCTACCAGAACGCCCCAAGAGATTTACCATTCCAGTGTAGTGTTCTAAACCTGGAGACAGCTGGTACTCCTCTGTCATGTTAGAGAAGAGCTTCTTTCCTTCATTCACCAATCCATCAAGACCACAGGCATTTATCACACTAGCAAAGATTGCTTTGTTTGGTCTTATACCTTCCTGTTTCATTTGATTAAAAAGATCTCGTGCATCATGACAACGTCCATGTAGAACAAGCCCAGCAATCATTGAATTCCAAGAGATGAGATCCCTTCCTGAGAGACCATCGAATACTACTCGAGCATACTCGATATCGCCAGACTTTGAATAAGTATCTACAAGAGCATTTGCAATCGAGATATCACGCTGCAGATCATTGTGCAGAATGCAAGAATGGATCTCCTTCACCTTCAACACCGACAATAAACTTGTACAAGCTGGAAGGATACTAAGAATGGTAACCGAATTAGGCCGAACCAAAAATGCCTGCATTTGTCTGAATATTCTTAGGGCCTGGTCTGGATCACCATTTTGCAATGAACCAGCAATCAGAGTGTTCCATGTAGCTGTGTTTCTTCTTATCCCCTCCATTTCCATCGTGTGAAAGAGTTCCACGGCTTGGTCCTCATCCCCATTCTGAATGTAGCCTGAGATCATGGCATTCCAAGTCACTACGTTTCGGCGCACACCTGAACTCTCCATCCTTGAGAACAGATCATAAGCCTTACCACAGTAACCAGCTCGTGTGTAACCTCCAATCATTGAATTCCAAGTGAAGACATCTTTCTCAGCCATCTCCTCAAAGATCCTCTGAGCATCCTCCAGTCTACCACATTTTGCATACATATCGATCAGTGAATTCCCCACTAGAATGCTGTGGATGCATCCGATCCTAATCGCATATGAGTGGAGTTCCTTTCCATTGTCCAAAGATTGCAAAGAGGCACAAGCAGATATAGCACTTGCAACAGTCATGCCATTCGGTTCCACTCCTGAAAGCAACATCTCCTGAAAGAGATCCAAAGCTTCATTCATCCTGTCATTCTGAGTGAGCCCCGAAATCATGCTTGTCCATGTAAAGACATCTGGCGCGATTCCAGAACTCTCCATCTGCTCCATGAGCTCCATTGCAAGATCCGGATTGCTAGATTGATTATAGCTCAAAATAAGTATATTCCAAGTGACAACTCCTGGTTCAATCCCTTCGGCTCTCATTCGTGCAAAAAGCCTCAGAGCTGCTTCATGGCCACCACACTGGCAGTGCCCAGAAATGATAGAATTCCACGATACCCTATCTCGTCTATCCATCCTCTCAAAAAACCTCAAGGCCGAATCCAGCTCACCACATTTTGCATACATCGCCAACACCGAGTTGCTCACACGGACCTCTTTCGACGAATCCAGAAGTCCGATCCGAACGGCAAGTGAGTGCAGCAGCCGCCCGGTCTCTAAATTGCCGGTGTTGCTGCAGGCCTGCAAGATCCTCGGAAGCAGGAAGGTGTCGGGGAGCACGCCCTCGTGCATCATGCCGAAGAACAGGTCGACGACCTCGCCCCAGCGCTGCTCGCGGGCGTAGCCGCCGATCATCGCCGACCAGGTGAAGAGGTTCCTCTCGCGCATTCCGGCGAACACCCGGCGGGCATCCTCCAAGCTGCCGCATTTAGCGTACATGCTGACGAGCTTGGTCTCGACGAAGGGGTTGCGGTCCTGCACCGAGCAGAGCGAGGCGTGGAGCCGGCGGCCATCTTCGATAGAGTCGGCGTCAATGCAAGACTGGAGCAAGGAAATGTAAGCTCCGGGCCGGATGGGGGAGCCCTGTTCCAGGGCGGTGATGGCTTGCTGGAGGTGGCCGCCGTGCTCAGGGAGCTTGAGGGAGCCGGCAGCCGTGGGCAGTGGTTGTTTTTGCTTGGGTTTCTGGGCAAGAAAGGGGGTGATGGTGGTTGTAAGTGGTGGTCTGAGGAATTGGAATAGTTTCGACTGGTTGAGGAAGGGATTGGGGATTGGGTCGGTGGGGTGGCAGCCTAGGAATGGGTTCTCCATTGGTGGGATGGAAGGGGACGAGGAAGGAGGGGTTGAGAGGAGGGAAGGCAGGGGTGAGACCTCCCCTACACGTTCCAGTGTTATCCGGATAAAGGGGGACGAGGAAGAATTGGATTAAAATTAATATTGATGGTTACTTCTAATTATGTTTCTTAGAGTATCGAGGTGTCGTTCGTTCGTTCGTTCGTTCTTATTTGGATCTCAGATGTCCGCTAGTTGACCGTAAGATGTAAGAGATGATCGAAGGCTTCGTTTGTTGGCACAACTAAACTTGTGGCTGTGTATCCGTATAAACTGCAATCAATAAAGGATTCTTATACATGGAAATTAAAATTGATGTAAATCCAAAGTATACAAGTCCTTAATCCAAATTTATTTTAGTCTTTTGAGGAAGATTCACATTCTTTTTTATATTTAATGAGCAGAGCTTAAGATGTGAATTAGTTCTCTTTTTTTTTTAATATGTTATTTTTTGAAAAATAAATTAGAGCATTTTAACATGACGAGCCATAATATAAATATGCTAAAAACAAGCATAACAATCTTAAGTAAATTGATGATTAACTCATAAGTCTGACCTGACCCTTAATAAATATTGTGTTGGGTAACAACATATTACCAGACTGACCCTTCATAGCTATTTGACATTAGTTACTTCTAATCTTTTCTCCCAAATCTAAAAAATGGTATTATCATAAATTTTAATGCTGCATAGGTGTTGCTCTAAACAATGGGGTTCTTCAAACATATCCCTCCTTTGATGCTCTTTCAGAAAACTTACATTGAATAATATTAACAAATTATTTTAGTACTGCACAAAACATCTAAAGGTATCATAAAGAAAGACGGCTTTTGAATAACATTAACAACAATTTGAACGTCTCTGTCCTATTGGCCAAATAACAGTCAACCACGAGTATAGTGTTGAAGATGGATGCTCTCTCTAGACTGAAGACTGACAAGTTTCAAACTCGTAGCCTCTGTTGTCTACCAAGAATGATGCATGCGTAAGTAGCAGCATCTGCTTTTCTGGGTTAATCAATAGTATCAAACATATTTCATGATGCATTCAATTTCCAGAAGACATGCAACAACAAAAAAAAAAGGCCCAAAGCAAGTGCTTACATGATCTAAGAAGACATGGGACAGACCAAAACATTGTTGGGTCTAAATGAGGCCATCGAGTTGAGATTCCAGATCTTGTATTGTGACCATGCCAATGCTTTCTATTTCTTCAGTGGAATATTCAGATTTTAGCAGTGTCTGCAGCTGTAAGTGGGCTTCAAGTATGTTTGTCCTGCAGAACAGTAGAAAAAATAAAAAGTAAGAATTCCAAGTCCACCTGGCCTCTATCAGTATCATGTCACACTTTCACTCTTCCAAATAATAATAAACCGAGCTTCTCCATTCAAAGTAGCATTAGCATTCTGAGAATGACAATATCAAAGATTGCAGCCAACAGAATGAAGGAGAAAATAAAAGAATAAGAACTTAGGTAATTTATTATATGTTAATAAAAAGTGACCAGCCTAGGCCTAAAACATAAAGAGAAAAAGAAAAAAACTTATAGACCAGCAATGTGAAGTTCTACATACCTATATATTTTTATAATATTTCTAACCAATCAAGTAGGTAAAGAATTTAAGATGCATTCTGACCATTTCATTTTTTGCAATCAGTAAAATAGTTAAGCTACTCACTTGATGGGTTTAAACAAAATCATCCTAGTCGATAGGTTTTGCAAATATAGCTTCATTTTCATCATTACTCTGGGCAGGTCTTGCTGGAGAGCTGTTGCTACCTGTTCATATAGGAGCTCACGTGGTTAGCACGAAACAAAAACCACAGCTGGGCTTGCATATTATAGCATACCCTTTGAACTAGTTCAGCCACTTTATCAGGAGCAGCAAATGCTTGGCTCTTAAGGGGTTTTGCTAGAACAGAATCCAACTTCTGCCCTTGATTTCCTGACGATAGTGCAACTTTCACAGCAGTTACCTGGTAAACAAAAGTAACATTATCACAGACCAGTCTTTCTGATTATTAATCCGCTCTATACATCAGTTTCCTGGACACTAGTAAACCCTTGTTTGATGAACAGAAGAAAATGAGAAACCTAAATGAAAGTATAAAATCCAAGGCAAGTAAAACTGCTGTTTTGATGCAAAGCAGAAGCCAGTTAGGAGTCAAGAAACTTTCCATTGAAAAAGAGAACTCTGGAGCCAAGTTTACCCATACTTCATACTGACATTAAGATGCAACAAGAACACATGTATGCATATGTTTGTATGCGGATGCTTGTGCATGTGAGCAAGAAAATTGTGTAGATATGCAGATCTTTCATTGCATATTTAACTTGTGAACCTGCATAAGGGTTAAGGATCTAAAACCTTTGCAACAAATGAAAGCATAGGATCTACAACCAACTTCGTGGTAGCCATTATAAACTCTTCACAAGTAGTTTTAAGGCTTTTCTCAAGTTCCTGCAATCAAGAGAAAATTCAACCAAATGTGAGTTGCATCAGAAAGCAAACAAAGGCAATGAAAATGCATATTGAGACATTTCACAATCAGAAAGATGAAACAAATAAAAACATGCATCAGAGTACTAATATGTTTAAACCACACAGATTGAATAGGAATCCACTCTGGAGATCATCAAAAATATTATTGCTCTTTTAATCATACCCTCAAAGGTAATTGTCCAATAAACAAAACTATTCCACCTTCAGTTAAGCACCCTGAACGTAGTTAAAATTTACTCTAACATTGTGAATAGGAAATATTTTCCAGGTTCATTTCAGAATTCAACTCATTCCAGTGCTGTAACTCTGTGCATTTTGGATAAGATGATTCGGACTGAAAAGTTTAGATGCCTCTGATATAATGTACATATTCTATCATTGTTACATCCATTAGTTGCAACTATAGTAGTACTTTCTTAATCTAAGCAACAAAAATGTTAAAAGATCTGAGACTCAGTTGAAAGTCAATTATGCTTCAGATAAAATAAAACTAAAGTATAAACTACTCGGCACAGTGAAAATTGAATATGATAAATTAGAGACTTACCTTCTTCGCATCTATTTGACTTTCGAGAACCCGAGGAGATAAAGTTCTGGCTAACGAAGCTGACATTGACCAATCAAATAGTGAGGACTGACCTCTGAGAATCCTCCTGAGATGCTCCTGAAAATTATTAACAGAAACGGTTGCTTCAAAATGGAAGGTACATCGAAGTTCTTGTTTTACTATAGTACAATCCAAAATCATAAAGCACAATATAAAACAAGCTTAAGAAATGAAACATGGCTACATGCAGATAAACAAAGCATTAGACAAGGCAAAAACATGTTACGCCACCTTTATTTCAACTGTATTTTTATCATAAGCTAGCAACTTCACCAAGACCATCCAAGAGGATAATTTACTGTTTTTCCTTTATAGTATAGTTTATGTTGTGTTCCAGCAAATACAACCGTTACAACCAAAACCTCTCCTAGTGTCTTCATGAATGATGCTTTCTACAAGGCGCAGCTAGAGTTAACTGCAAGCTACCAATCACTAATTGAGTATTATCTATTTCAACATAGATATTTTCTCTCTAAAATTTCCCCCTTTTCCTGCTGTTCAGTTATACCTCTTTTAGATTTAAACTATCGATGACATCATAATCAATGATCCACTACTAGATAAATTATTCTATCATTGACAAGGTCAACTACCAGATATATGTCCAATTATTTTTTATTTAAATACCTCACTCATCTTGTTTGTTTGGACTGTGCCTTATCTCCCGACTTCTTCAAGCCATAAAATATCGTTAGCCTTTATCACTACAGAATGGTTCCTCTTTGTAGCAAATGCAGAAATGAGGAACAAAAATGAGTTGGCTCTGACCCAAAATTACGATCATAATCCTTCTTACTTTTTCAGTTGTGTACAGCTCTGGCCCAAATTATCATATTAATATATCAATGCAACTAACGTCATCTTCAACTCTTTGAACTTTGTCCCAGTCCAAGGAACATTATATATTCTCTATCTACTTTGCAAACAACTACAAATAGAAACATCAAATGATTACTGCCTTTTCTCACATTTTTTAGCTCAAATAAGTAACCTTATAAACTTTCATTACTGGATTGCCTTCACTAATAGGCACCAATATGATGAATGTTGAAATACTTAAATAATGACACAAATACATAAACCAACATTGGTATCTGTAAGGACCCTTTGGAAACTAGCCCCATCTAGATGCAACAGAGTGATCTCACTGTGCATGTATGGCAGGTGTCCATATCAACATTGAAAAGAAAGTATACCTTACCCAGAAAAAATATACTCTCCCTCTGCATATTATGAGCTTACTTCCATTTGTCATATCTTTTAGAAGTTCAGTGTTGTCAAAAGATGATAACTTATGAATAGCTTATTGTGGAAAACAACGTTGAAATCATTCTACATGGACTAAAATACCCAAGCTTTTGAAAATTGGTTCAATACCAATTTTGATAGCCTTGTATGATAATATTTTATACCAATGGTACAACGACTTGCACCACCTAATATCACTTCAAAATTATGAAGAAAAGTTAAATACCAACTGGGACTGACTTATATTGTCCACTAATGTTCCTTGGACCATTAAATACTGGGTACCTGTTTGATTGATATTTAGATCCTTAAAAGTAACAAACAGATCCAGGGTTTGGGTCATTTCTTATGACTAAGTTATCCAAATGGATAGAGTATTCTGGGAACAAATTAGTAATCATAATATGAAACAATCGAAGAGACATAATGTTTCAGCTTATACTGACCAGTAGATGAGAAAAATCCAGCTCCTTGTGAGTTACTGAAAACTCGATATCGAATGGTGCGATCTGAAATTTACAAAACATTTGAGTTGCAATAAGTTTCCTTTTTTGTGTCACCAAAAGCCAATATCAGCTACTTTTTACATGAAGAAAGACAATGCAAAATGTTGCCCACCTGTTCCCTCAATATAAGAAGGTGCTTGACAAGAAAAAGTTGCCCGTCCATTGGGGATGATCTCTTTGATATAGATTTGCTCGCATTCTGATACAAATATATCAAAAAAGCAGTTAAGAACAGATCACATGATAGCACAAGAATTTAAAATGGCCTCTCACCCCCGCAGATATTCTGCTTCATATACATACGTGAAATGCACATAGGCCACTATGCTGCAGTTAAAAAGCTTCATGCATTGCACTTTTAAGAGGCTTCCTTAATTATGATTACATAGTTGTTTTTTAAGAAAAGAGAAACCTGTCCTAACATAGTTTATTTTGTGCAAGCAACCAAGGCATGATC